CTGCATGGCTGGATCCAGACCTCAACTCCCTCCAGAGAAAGGCACGAGTGTTTAATGCAGACATGGGTGCTGGAGAGGATGTGCGTAACGGGGAGCTTTTTTCGCCAGAGAAAGGCAGCCCTGTTGTGGGGACAGCGGGAGCCCCTTGCCATGTGGTGTCCCAGTAGGGGGACATGGCCTTGGGGCGCCTGATGTCCTCTGTGGGCTCCTGGGGGGCTGTGTGCGCCCCTCCTGCCCGCCGTCCATAAGTTGGGTGGAATTACATTTGGCAGCCAGGGGTGCCCTGGTGAGGCTGCAGCGCTCTCGGCCGCCCGGGAGATGAGATGCCCCCTTTTCCTGGTGTGAGTTGCCAGTCCCCAGGCGCCCGGTCCTCTTCACTGGTGTGCACACACAGGGAAAGGAAATGCGACTCAGGAGGACCCGGAGCTTTAAGAAGCACCCAAATGGCTGCACCCTTGACCATTTTAACATCCACTTCACAGGGCAGTCTCTTCTCTCACCTGCCTGGGGCTGCTGGGAGCCCTGAGTGCTCAAGGACAGATGTAAGGAGAAGCAATGAATGCAACTGCTTTGCTTAGAAATACTTTTATTTTATAAAGCCACGTTCGTTCTGTGAAGTTTTTTTAAACCACACTTATAAAAAAGATGTTGACAATTCTTAGGGGAAAAAAAGCTGAAAATGTTTCTCATTAATTCAGGGTTACACAAAGAGTATATTTATAATATATATTTGTATATTTATAACTTAGAGACAAAGGTGGGGGACCATAGAGCGGGCGCTGCTGCAGTTAGATCTCTGATACCCGATCGTTTCCCACAAACAGTGTTTCCTGGCAGAAGGGGTTGACAAGGACCATCCCGGTGTCTCTGTAGTCGCCATTGGCTGGGGAGTGGGGCTCTCAGAGCTGGTTCCGGGGGAGAGAGGGGAGGTGGTGTGAGCTGGGGGGTTCACGAGGTGGCCATTCTTAAAGAAGCCACACACGGGAGCACTTATTGCCACCCAGGATTCCTGGGTGAATGTTCCGTCACCCTCCCCGCCAGTGCTGAGGAGCAGAGCCCTCTGGGATCTTCTTCAGATTTCACAGCAGCTTCTGAAGAAGAC